TTAGTTAGCATAAATCAGTTAAATGACGAAAACTTAGGTGTCTATTTACTTGTAACCACTCAGTGTAGATAGTATACTGCAGGGGTTGATTACATTATATTAAAATGATTTTGAATATGCAAATCAGCAAGTCATATGCCAGCCACACCCAATATAAAGTTTCGGGGTAACGGCATGTATCAGAAGTACATTGTGACATTGTTTGGCATTTCCTTGGAAGTGTGATGCAACTGAAGATTGGTTGCTTTTGGGAAGAGTATGTAACAGACCTTTCCAATGAAAAATATTAACACTTGGATCATGAAAGATATGTTCAGATAGGGGATTTAGAATTCCCAAGGATATTACACTTGTACTTAATGGCATTATAAAACAAAGGAATATGGATCAACTTGGAGCACCAGAACCATCCAAAAAGGAACCAACAACAAGTCATACACAAGTCTTGGTAAATAAAATGTAGCATCTTATAGCAGGTGAGAATCCACAAACACAAAGGTCACAAAGCTGTCCACGTGACCCTAGCAACAGTACACAACATAAACAAGAAGTATCTCCATGTGGAAAGTGAAATAAGTTTTGTGTACACAAGTCGCTTCCATGACCTACCTGTTTAATTTTCACACACCATAATCATAAAAGATCTCCACATGGAAAAGCAACACATGTACATAATCTACTTCCACGACCTACCTGTTCAACTGTCTTATACCTGAAGCAGCTGGAACATGATACACTTATCCATGTTATTCCATGCAAAAACATACTAGTCAAGTCACTGGGTGCAGCAACTATGGTCTGTTGAAACTGGTGCTGGGAAATTGTTGTCCTTATGCACAAGTAATAGTGTTATGCTTCAGACATGACAGCTTTACAATAGAGCCTTTTGCAATCAGTAGATAGATCTTGACTGGACTTGACAACATTGACTATAACAGAGTGGTAAAGCTCTAAAACCATTTTATCATAAAGAACTCAAACTTTGAATACCAAAATTAACATTTATGGAAGAATATGTTCAGAAATGTTATCATGAGCTATTGATAACAATCATGAAGTTTGAGTGTGAGATATACTGCTGAACAAGCTCCACACTTAACTTTTAACTGTTAACACGTTATAAAGTGACAGTCAATTCCACTGTTCAACTAATGATGGGTTATAGATGTTGCTGACTTGAGGAGTGAACCTTAAGTTCTCTGGCCTAGCTGTTTAACCCACGTGTCTCAAAAAACTGCTGTTCATGTTGAAATTACCATATACAAAGTTTTTAAATATGCTATTGTCATTATTGAAGCAAAATTCTGTAAAACTTATGTCATAATCTTTCAGAAAATGTTATCATACTGAAAATTTGAAGGAACCTGAAACACAAAATTTGTATGTAGTAGGTATTTATGGATTTGACTTTTTTTTCTTTTTATTTTTAACACTTGGGCTTTTCCTTATGAGTATAACTTACAAAACATATCCCAGCATTGATTATTGTCTCCAGATGTGTTATAAAAAAATAATTTAATACATATTTCCAGGAAAATTATTAAGAATAACAAGTTATATAATTCAAGTGGTTCACTAAACCTACGTGAAGGATCGTTTTTGCACCACAAAGTATCAATTCATTTACATAACAGATGTGTTCCAAAATAAATTTCTTAAATTGACACTTGATTGTTCTAAAAACATGAATTGAATAATTAATTGGCACAAACATAGTATTGACATTAGTGATATTTAGTAATCAGTTACAAATAATGATGATTTTGTATAGAATACTTACCAACATTCAACATTTTTATAGTAGGCATCAGTAATCAGTTCGAGATCATAAAGATGTTGAATCTGCAATGGACAAATTGAGAGTAATGTGGAAAAATTAAAATCATCTGCAGTTAATCAAATGTGCACAGGGGGGATGGTCCATTGGACCAGCCCCATATTGGAGAAGAAATGGTGATTTTAATTCTGAATTTACTCTGTGTATCTACATAAAATGAAGCAAGCTTTCAATAAAATGTACAAATATGTTTACACAAAATATCAGCTGCATTACAAAAGTATTTGCACTGAAGATATGCCTGTGAATTGACGATGTCAGTCTGATTCAGACTCTGAGAAGTAAGAGTACAAGGTCATATTTATGTGAATAATAAAAGTACTTTTGTCCTTTGCACAGTTCGCATATTACATTTACATCTTTAGAATCTCTGAAATGCATATAAACAGTTTTTTTTAGTATCCCTGTATATTGTATCTGGTATTTAGTCTGGTCTATTAAGAACTGATGCCAAATCAACAATGTATGATACAATGAACACTTCAACTCTGATATCAAATACATACCATTTTTTCAAAAAAAATTTTTGGCACGTGTATAGTGTTCAATCTTAACTCAATTTTTAAAAAACAATGATTATTTTATACACAATACTATAAAAATGAGATTGTTTGCCTATACTGGAAACAATTTTGTTTTTAAAGAATTGTGTATAAAATAATCGTTGTTTTTTAAAAATTTTGAGTTTTAAAGATATAATACCATGTTGAAAAGCATTCTGTGAAAGATCATGGAATATGCACTTTAACCCAAACCAATGCTTAAAGGATTAACATAATGTTTATCACAAATTTTAGGCTTAATTGTTCTAGTGCTTCATGAGCTTTTAGCATTTGAACCTTGAGTTTTAAAGTATCATACTCCATATATAAATAGCATTTCAGATAATCTTTTATCTCCCAGTGTTCAACCCAACTGATGTGTTCTGGTATTGTATGAAAGACCTCTTGGGCAGTGACTTGTGGGAGACAAAAGATAGATCTTCAATTTTTTTTATTTTTTTTTTTACACACCAATGATTTTGAATTCACAATGAACAGATGAAGAGGAATGTGGAAAAAAACAACAACACCTGCATTTAAGAGAATTTATAGTAAACTTTATGTTCAATAACAACTTTTGCATAAGACTGAGAGTTGGAATTATTCATGTGTGGAATTAAAACATTCTCTAGAACAGTATGGAAACTTCAAAGTGTGTATTGTACACTACATAGAATATGATAAGTGTACATTAGTTGCAGTTGTTACTGTAACACACCTATTAGCACTTGATTGTACTACATATATCCTTGTTTATTACATATATGTAAAGGATTTAATTTTTGGCACAAGCATCTTGCATTTAAAAAAGCTTATATCTGGAATATTTGAACATTATTAAAGATGTTTGAATTTAATTTTAGCAATCAGTAACAGTATTTCACTAAAGCTGATGCATACACATAATTTAAAACATTGAATATTAATTTCTGTATTTGTAAACTAAAGTAAATAAATTTAAAGTTTAATACTCGTATTGTTCTCAGTGTAGTTCATTTCATCACTTCCAGTTTTATTTGTTTGAAGAGAGGATAAGAGGACTTCTAAGATAAACTAAGTGATTCCTTAAGTATAATTTCAGTGATTCCTAACATTCTATGTCAGTATACTCAGTCATTGTACATTCATGTTCACAGTGTCATTTTGTTTAATTTATATGTAATTTTAGTAATACTTATTATTGGTTTTGCAGTTGCAGTGTGCACTTTTTAACATGCAAAAACTAGTAAAAAAATGTTTGATTTCTATTAATATTATGAGAACAGTTTTAAAAAAATGACAGATTTTTTGTTGGTGTCTGTGTGTAATAAAAATGTGTGAATACTAGATATTTGAAAGTTGAAATCCTGTACCAGGTAGCAGTAATTATATTTTGATAACTTAAGTTTAAAACAATTTAGCAGAAAATCATAAATTGAAACCACTATTATTGTAGTAGAATAAAGTATAATTATTTCTGTATTTACAGTTTTTGTATCTCTGTGTTGTATAAAAGAAAGTTCAACAGAAGATAATAATACCCCTATATCTTTGCCAATATTTTTTATTTACTGATTTTTAGCACCCAAGACCTCCTCCTTTTTAAGACTATTTGTGCTAATAATTCATAATATATAAACTTGGAACAGTTACATTTCATTGAAAAGCAAGTATAGGAAAACTTTCCTTTTGTCAGGAAAAGCAGTACATGAAGAGCTCATTAAGCAAGCAAGCTCCACAAATATCTCTTGTTGATGAAATTGCCCAAGTGCGTCAACACATAAAAAACTCCCTGATGTCAGTGAGTAACAACTCTTGCCATTATCCAATGATCTAATGAATGTGCACACTGCTGTTGTGGCTTTCTTATTTGTCCTGCATGTATCCTGACATGTTTTGTTCTTTCAGTTAACATTGAAAACATGGATGCAAACTTGGAAGTGTTTTTTTAAGTATAAAAAAAAAGTTTGAAGTACTATTGTATATTCATGCTTTCTTCCCTGAAAACAATATTTGAATGATAAGTTTCATCCTAGGATAGAGGACTGTAAATACAAGGAATTAGGTACTAAAATTGTTTTTTAAAGGATCTAAAAGTTTATCTCATGTTATAGAAATTTTAACATTTTTGTGTCTTGAAGATATAAAGAGAGAATATAATTGTTTGTTCACAGACAAATAGAAATCTTTCAAATGTGTTTCATTAATATAAATTTTAAACAACCTAGTTCTTACAGATGATTACTTATGTGAAAATAGCTATATTACTAAAATTATGCTAATAAAAAATGATTGTGTCGATGAGGCTTTTTCCTTAATCTCAACAAATTAGATATTGAAAATTGTCCAGAATATAACATAATTGTTTAAATGAAGCATGGATGCTGATATTGTTTATGCATTACCCTAAATATTTGAAAATATGATGAAGCAGAATAGTATCTGACCTTTGCTTATTTTTCTTATTATAACATATGGACAATAAGAGACTATTTGGAACTTCAGACTTTCCTTGCACATCCACCCTTGAGAACAAGTAAAAACTTAAACAGACCATTTATTTTTCAGAGAATTATCAGTTCGCCTTCTAAACTTTTGTAAAATACTAGCCTGCACTACTCCAACCTGCAACTATTCTATACGGCAGTCACCTGTCAGAAAAATATAATTGGTCTTCCTCCATTCACTGCAGCTGGGACGTATTTTTCCCAGTGCAGTGGGAAATATACCTTCCAGCTGCAGTGGAAGCGTTAACTGGAGCTTGCCATTCATTTCCAAATTTTAAACTTTTGTACTCTCATCCTATATTTAGAATATAATACAAAGAAATCAAGATCTTTATCCTTTTGATCCACTGGATAATATGTGAACTTCAATAAGAGCAAAGATGTAAATAATATTTTTTTTTACTACTGTGGCTTCTTGTCTTCAATTATCGGCGGAAGATGCTACAGCCTTGGTTCTTTAGGAATTGGCTGCTTTCAGATGGGCTCCTGTGTTCAACAGCATGTGATTACAGCTGCAGGTGCAGTGTTATTGGCGGAGAAAGTATCAGCCGTTATTCGTCAAGAGATGGCTTCATGTGGGCCGAAGGATCTCCCGACTTACAAACAATTCTGCCATTACATGAGGACTTAGATCAGGATAATACAAACTTGAACAGCCTTTTCACCTTTTCCTGTGAAGGCACGTTCTTAGCCTGTTGAGCACCTAGACCTCAGTCATCATTTTTAGACTTGATATCATAAGTATGATGAATTTTTTCTTTGTCACCCATGTCATTTGATCCTTCCCCTTATTAACTGTAGTACCTAGTTTTTGGTTTTTCCCCATTCACCATTAGTATGCTGTGCTCCACACATACTGCAGAGGCTCATGCACTTGCAAATCGTTTTTCAGCAAACCCTTGGATCATTTGAATTTTGTCATAAAGACTCTCCCTTCTTTTCTTCACACTTCCCACCTTATCACCTGTTCCAGTTCCTTTCCTCCCTCAAGGTGCCATTGAACAGGTTTCTCCTGTGCTTCAAGAAATCTATTCCCAAATTTTTTCTGTCTCCAATAAGACCAGGTATTGATATCCTGTTTTTGATCTCTCCCTTCTGAATTGCTTCCTTGACATGCCTTAATTCACCATGGAATCCTACGTGTATCTCAGATAGGCATTTCTTCTAGGGCTTTGGATGATGAGATTCAAGGTACCCAATGATTATCCTCACATCCCTATTGCTTGGGCTTCACATTATTATTTATGTTTTGTCTACAAATATACATGTTTATTAATTCTAAGTTCCTCCTTTTGTGCTTGTCTGTTGGGTTGTCTGGTCATTTGCCCATTTCCTACATTTTTGCAGGCTCAGTTCCCATCATTATTTGGAAGACTAGCTTCTTCTGGCTCCATCCTTCAGAGTCTTCCACACACACCCAACTTCTCATCAGAGAAGCTGCTTGGGTGGGTTGGATTATCAAGATGGAGAAGTCCATTATCCACCAATATCTTATTCATCTGTGGGTGTTTTATGACGCATCTCAGTCAAGCCCAGCCTTCTCTCCATCTGTAAGCCATGGAGTTTTTAGTTCAGAGGGCACTGTCAGTAATTGATGACAGGTTCTGTATCTTTAGGGGACTTGAGCATCGCTAGAGGCTCTTATCCTACTGGGCCATGCCTACATGTATTCCTTGCAGTGGGTATTAAATGACCAATGACACCTCTTCGGGAACCCTCAGGATTTACATGTATCCCTTCCTGCTTCCTTTCAGTTGACTTCCTGAGGTGGTTAGATAGAGACAACATCACAAGGGAGGTACCTATTCACATTTTCACAGATGACACATTGTTAAGGTGGGGTGTGAGCTGCAATACACAGAAGATTTTGGGCTGTTAAACTCTGGAAGAGTTAGGTCTTCAAATCAACCTTTTGAAAGTCCTTGCTGTTCATTGGTAGATGGTTCAATTTCTATCATCTCTATGGGACATAACAGTAATGATTCATTCTAACAACTTGATGGTTGTCTCTTACATCCCCTGAGAAGGAGCACTTGATCCCCAGTCCTTATGTTCCTGCACTCTAGAACTCCTCTTCTGGGCTCACAGCAATCAAATTCATTTGCTGGCATATCACATACTGGATGCCCTCAATCTTGTCACGGTTTACCTGTACCATCCTGAAATGTTTCTACCCATGGAGTGGTTTCTCAAACCCAGATATTCTGATAGCTATGTTCTCAGTTGGATATTCCCCAACTGAACGCATTTGTGACTCAATTGAATGTCAAATTTCCTATCTTTTGGTCCCCAGCTTCACATCCTTTGTCTTTATCCATGGATTGGAAGGACCTTTTCCTTTATAAATACCCTCCCATCTGTCTTCCACCTCAAGTAATTTCTCTTATCCAATCCACATCTAGTTCTTCTTGTGACTCCTTTTTGTCTTGCTCAACCGTGGTTTCTATCTCTGTCCCTTCTCCAGGACCTACCTCCATTACCTTTTCCTCTTTCCTTGTTCCTCCTCCATCAGTTTCACTCAGGGGTGCTTCATCCCTCTGTTCCCACACTCTTACTTCATGTGTGACTTTTGTCTGGTCCATTGCGAGGGGTTCGGGACTATCCACACATGTATCATTCCTGTTGTCTCACTCTGTCCATTTCTCACCCATGTCTGTGTTTCAACATAAGTGGAGAATATACTGTTGTTGGTCTATCCAGCATGGATTCTCAGATATCTGATTTTTTACATGGTTGTTTGACAAGGGTCTGTCATTTCAACCATTGTGGGCTATAGGGTAGCCTTTCATTTTTGCTGTGTGTTTTCCTCTCCAGTTATTTCCCTTTTATTTTGGTCTATGCGTCTCCATCCTCCTCCTCATTCCACTCAGTTGTCAAACTGGAATCTAAATGTTGTTCTCCATGTCCATTCCCTTCCTCCCTTCAAATTGCTAGCCTCATGTTCCTTAAATTACCTTTCCTTGAAGAAAAATTTTCTTCTCCTTTTGTTTTGTGGACGTGGCTAGTCAGACTTGTTTTCCATCAATGTTCACTGATTTTGTACCACACATCCTATGTTTTTTTATATCCTAACTGTTCCTTCCTTCCCAAAACATCAGCTGCTCACAAAGGTGATTTTGCTTTCATCCTTATTTCCCTTCCTTCCATAACCCATATTTACTCCCCCTCTGACCTGGATCTTCACTTGTGTCCAGTCCAGGCTTTACGGTGTTATGTGTTGCACACAGCACACTTCAGTGGCTCTCACTCCCTTTCTCCTGAATCTTGCCAATTGTTCTGTGTTTTGTCCCATCAGATTCATCATCTTCCAATGTCCTTGGCTGCTCATTTCCATCTGTTGGAGAAGATTGTGTAGGCTAGCATGTGGACCACTCCCATAACCTTTGTGTTGCACTACTTGTATCATCTGGTGGTTCCATGCTCAGCTGGATATCATCTTCCCCCTGTAGCTGTTCTCCATACTTCGATACAACTGTGAGTGGGTAAGTTAATTTTGTTTCATTTATCCATATTTTTTCAGAGGCCTACTTTCATGCTATGGATCCCACTCTGTGGTGAGTGCTGCCTGTCCAGGTATACTGATATCCAAAATCTGAACCATGAGATCTATAAGTTCTATCACACTCGCTGTTGAGATGTTGTGTTCCACAAGAGTTCTTGCAGGTTCTTCTTCACAGTATATTGCATCATAAATATGTTTGTACTGGACCATACACTTGTGGACTAACATGAGTAGAGAAGAAAAAATTACTGCTCATCTCTAACATTTTTTAGATTGCCAGAATTGAAAATGGTCTACTTTTAAAATAGGGTTTCATGGTCACACATTTGGCTTTCTCCAGTGATGCGTTCCTATGGACTCTCCAACATGTTTCTTCCCCCTTCTTCCAGTGAAGTACAGGAATTCTTACCAGCTAGTAGCTGCTGGGGTGGTGGATCATGAAGGAATCCTCCTGAGTGTGTACAATTCCACTCAGTCAAGAGTAGGGCAGTGGTGTTCTGACTGTGGAGAAGGCAGGACTATCCTTCTGCTGCAGGTCTTGTGTTTTATTCCAGATTCCTTTGGTGTGGACTGGATTTTTCTATTTTACAGTTCACCTCTCTGGCTGGCAGCCCTCCTCCTACTGCTGCCTGGATGTCTGTTCCTGGGTGATTGGAATTAGGTGAGAGTTTCAAGGCTAGTGGCAAGCAAACATTTGCACACTGTGAGAAAAAGGTAAGTATCTTTCAAAAATATATTTTCAGGGTAGGAAGATATTAACTTCCATTTTCTTCTTTCACTGCAGCAATTCATAGCTTACAAAAAATGTAAAGATTTCATAAATAAATAGTAATTTAATCATCTAAAGTAATTGAAAATATTATTTAACACAATTTCCTTATTTTTGATTATGGATGGAAAGATAAGTTATTTCAGACTTCTTCCATTTCCTTTTGAACTACCTCAGTGTGTTTACTGGTATTTACAACTCAACTTCTCATCTTACTTTAAATTTTGAAAGAGGGCCAGAAAATGGATATAATTTACAAACCCTCAAAATTAGTGAAATTGGATTGACAAAAAATTTCCATACATACATATCTTAGAAACACATATTGCATGAGTACCAGCCAGAGTAAAATATTTGAGCTTTATGCTTGTGTGTTATGATATCATTGATGTGTGTCTTCTATGTTGAAAGCCTACTAAAAGCAGTAGAAGGGCAGCAAGCTTTTCATGTGATTGTATACAGCTAATAAATGCTTTAATAAATTGGGCCAAGATTCAGTTGGTTTTGGTTTTCAACCATTATATCCAGTAAGATAAAGCATGAATGACCGAAAATAGAATGACTTTTGCACGCTATATCCAGATTAGATAAATCTTGGTTTACCAAATACAAGTTGACTGCTGTATGTAGTTTCTCAGAAAAGTAGGAAAAAACGTTGCTATTTCACAATCATGAATGTTTGCCTGGACATTGCTTGCTTGTTATAGGTTGAAAATTTATAATTCTATAATGTGTATTGAGAGTCTGTTTTTTGTTAACTAAGTTTACAAACTCATTGGCAACTTTGAAATGTTTAGGGTGATGCTGGTTCTGTGAAAGGATGTAGCACTCAAGATGTATCAGAGATGGTGTCACAACTTCAGCACTTGGAGATAGAAAATACTAATATTAAAAACAGTAAGTTCATGAGAGCTGAAAATTAAAGTATTTGTAATTCTTCAAGTCTTTAAATATGTTTTTAGGTTATATATTTAATGTGGTTTTTATCATCAGAAGTACATTTTTTTTCTTAAAAATTAACTGCTAGTGTTCTTTTATGAAAATTACTTGAAGTTAATTTAGTATGGTTTGTACATTTTTGCCTCACAAAATCCTGGAAATCATTATTGATATTTTAAGCTTTATGTTGTTTCCTAAAATACATTGAAATGGATGAAAAGTAGCTAAGATTTCAATTTTAGTGTAAATTTAACATAATATTGCATTTCAAATAGTTGGTTTATTGCAGTGTTTCTGTTGTTTTTATGAAGTAACTTATTAAATATTGAAATTATTCTACAACTCTGAACTTTTATCCCTAAAGGCATCTTAGAGCTTTATGATTATAATATACCAGGTATGTACGAACTAAAAGCAGAATATTGTTGTTAATAGTTTTGTCGACAAGTAGAAATACATGTGTATATAAAACACTTTAACATAAAAATATTATATTTATAAGAACTATTTTTATATATATAATATGACAAACTTTGCAATAAATAAATGTTAACAGTAATAATAATATCTCAATTCTTAGCAAAATGTTTCACTAAATATTCCATGAAATTTCCCTGATAATTTTTGTCATTTAAGTTGGGTATCAATTTCTTTACCAATGACCTTGAAATCATGTATTGAGGAGCTGGAAACTATTATACATAAGAATATTTTATAACCAAAAGTAGTAATATGTAAGAACTTGGAGTTAGAATGTATTGTACTATAAAAGCTTAACTTTGATAGATGGAGTTGTCAGTTTTAGCTAGTCTAAATTAAGTGATGAAAATAATTTTTAAGCCATTCCTAAATTGGATAATAGATTTGTGTATAGATTGGAAAAAACTTAAAACAAAATGTTGGTAATATTTTTTAACTCTGAAAAAACAAGGCATTATTTAATGGTAGGCTTAGCTACCTAAATAGAAAATGTTTTACTTACTTGTTTAAGAAACTAACTTAGCATTCTACACACTATCACCTAGTAAATTTTGGAACACCCATGAAAAGCACCTAAAAGTAACAAAATGTAAACAAAGGAACCAAGAAGTGAAAATTCAGTTTCTATAACCTGTTACAACAGTTCTAAGGCTTAGGCTTTAGATATGTTTTGAAATTGATAATCTTCTTTGTTTTCAGAAACCATCATACATAGAGAGATTGCCCTCTGCCAGCCATGTTAAAAATTGTGAAAGTTGATGAAACTTGTACATGCATTATTAATGATACCTGATGAGAAAATTTAGATTTTAGCACTATACGTTTCTATCATTATTTCTGCTTTCAGAATTTGAGGTAATGTGCATATTTTATAAAAAAAAAATTCAAAATTGTTAACTATTCTTTCTTCAAGAACAGCATATTTTTATTTCTCTCTCTCTCTCTCCTCAGTTATTGCCAACCTAACCAACTTAGTTTCCAATCTTGATGCCAGAGTCAATGCACTTGAAAATAAAAATACCCTAGCAGCCACTACTGAAACTAATAAGGTTTGTTTATTTCTTATTGGTCAATAGCCTGTAGAACTAAAGTATAAGTTATGTCCTGGTTGAGTTATTTCCTTGTATAACATGTTAGCTTCAAGAAACTGTTTAAAATTTTGTAATGGCATGCATATTTTAAGTATAAATAAAATAATACTATAAACTATTTTCAGGTGTTTAAAGTTCCTGTTTTTCTTGTAGTTACAACCACCAAAACCTGTGGCTAAGAATGATGATGATGATATTGATTTATTTGGTTCTGATGAAGAGGTAAATATATCAGTTAATTGTAATATTATTGTTTGATTTTAGTTCTGTTTAGTATCTCGCTAATATATACTATTGTTTTTAGAGTTGTGAAAGTCATAAATGTAACAAGTAAGTCTACGAAGATAATTTTTAAACATGATAGAATGATCTTAGACAGAGAAATTTACCAGAATTCATTGGATTTTTTAGAAATTACTTGAACCAGCTTTTTACCATGAAAAAATAAAGCTAAATAAGAGCATTCTATTCTAACAAGACAAAGAAAGGAATAGTTTTGTAGGGATAAGTAACTACTATAACCTTCTCAAAAGTAATATTACCTATTTTTTGCTTGATTCAATTAATTTTACTAATTTTACTTTTCAGTATGTAGTTGGTACTGTGTATGCGAATCCTACATTGAATTTAATGTCAAAGTAAGTTTTGGTTATAAATATTTTCCCCTCAGTTAATTCTTATCATGAGTATGATATGCCATTTTTCTTTAATTACCATGCAGTGAAAACACCCATTCTACTTTAAAGTACCAGGAAATTGGGCTTGTGAATTAGTTTGTGCTTTGAATTAATTAAACTTTTGGCAACCCCTAATTAATGGCTTCCCTCATTTGTTCTCAACATTAAACATATGTTTCCAGTTGTTGAAAATAATTACTACAATAAAGTTTAAAGAAATGGGAGAGAAAAAATTCAGGCTTAGAAATGGCATTAATTTGTACCATGTGTAGTATGTGAAAAGTTTGAATGATTTAAAAGTCACTGAAAGCAGTAACTGCTCCAAAACATTTGAATTTATTTTGGTTTGTTAGGAATATCAAACATAAATACATAGCAAGAATAACTTTACATTTTATAATTAAATTACTTTTTTAAAACTAAAACAAAAAATAACTATATCTAGACCAGTTAGAATTAATTTTTCAGGCATTGATTCTTGTCATGGTTATTTCTGACTGGATCTGTTAATAATAACTAATTGTCCACTTTTAAGACTGTCTTATTTTGTAACTTATGTGGTTGATAAACTACTTTAACTTGTTAATTACTTTCATCATTAAACCAACCCAACTGATGAACTATTTGACTAGAGAGTAGATATGTTGGTAAACAAATTGACCAGAGCATTGTTTTCTTCTTATAGCCTGTAAAACAGTGTGGTGTACTGGTTAGCATGCCTGGATTATAAATCTGAGCATTCATGGCCTGTTACTGCAGAAACACACTTCACACTTTTGAGCTAAGAGTAACGGTTAAATTTCATTATTCAGTCAGATAACAGTAGCACAATAGTTGGTGAAGGATGGTATTGCCTAGCTCTATTCCATGTAGTCTATTAGATTAAAATTATGGTTGGCTAGTGCAAAAGCATGTTATTTAACTTTGTATGAAAATTCAGAATCAAACAAAAGATAGTTTGTATACTAGTTGCTCAGTGCTTAAACAACAGGCTATCTGAACTTCTATACTACTTTGCCAGAATACTGGCTGTTCAGTTACTTTATGTGTTAAACTATTTAAAAAAAAACTTTGCACTTTCCGGTCATTATCCAAAAGTCATAACAGAGATTTCTTGTGGTAATAACACCCGAAAGCATTGGGGATATCCCATCTATCAGACAAAAAGCAGATGAGTATCCAGTCAGCAGTCATGGAAAATTTAATAAGCGTATAGAGTTGAGTGCTTACACCTTCAACGTTTCAACTCTTACTGCCTTTCACTGTCTGCAGCCAGTTGTGGGAAGGCAGTTAAACTTAAAAAGATGTAATAAAGTTAAAAGTAGAAATATTCTACTAAGCAATGCCTACAACCCTCCACCCTTAAAAGTTCTAAAAAATCCTTAAAGTAGAATAAATGCCACCCTAATAATTCTACTACATGTTGCTCCCAACCTCCACTCTTTTCTGAAAATGACTTATTTAAAAAAGATCTTAAAAGAACTACAAGACTTACCTCAAGTAGTTCATATTGTCACATTATTCAAGTATAGTACGGGATAGCTGAAACAAGCCCAGCCTTTCCACCATTTCAGTGTAGGATTCTATCTATTCTGTATGTGGAATTGAGGTTTTTTCTCAGAAGTTAACATTTTCTTTACCTGAAAATGTATTACTGATAGTTACTTACCTCCTACCTGCATTTTCTTTGTGCCATGTTTATGAAAGAAGTTAATTCAAGCACAAGTGCTTAGGGAGAGCTACTGCTCAAGGTAGTTGAGTCATCCTCTTGTTGGTGGAGGGCTATCATTGCATAATAATGTCATCATTCACTAGCGCAGTTCATGTACAACACTGTTTTTTTTATATAGGAGATACCTCAAAGCTAGTGGCATGCAAGTCTCAAAGGCAGGTGTGTGAGTAATTCAACCTGTTCTGTGTGAAGAGGTATCTGTCAGAAATAAATTTTTATACACAGAAAATGTTAACTTGTGTTTATTTAATGATTCTGTAGGAAGATCAGGAAGCCAACAAACTCCGAGAGAAAAGACTTGAAGAATATGCAGCAAAAAAAATCTAAAAGTAAGAAAGCTAAATAGGATTTGATATTCAGTAAAAGTCTGATATATAAAGGATAAAATTTTGTTGATAACAATATACTAACTAAATTTTCAGCTTCTGGATCAAACAGAAATTAAGACTTTTAAAAAAGATAAAAGTAGATAAACTTGATTGATGGGTAAACTGCAAAAATGAAAGAAAATTTTAGAAATAAATAATTCACAGAACATGTTAAAAAAGGCTCATGTATTTGAATACTTAAAGAAATATTTTCTACTTTATTTTCACAAAGCTTTGAAGTGAAAGTTATGAGGTTTACATTTTTTGTAGTGAACCAAGAAGGAAATAACACTTTACATTTTTATAACTCATATATAATTTCTAAATCTCATGAACATCAATTCTTTAGCAAGACATTTTTTTCCTCCTTTTGTCTTTGGATGTTTCTATGGATTAGCCTGTGGATTAGTGATTGGGAACTCCTGTTGTAGATGATGAGTAACCACTTATTCTTAGGAATGATCATCCTTAAAACTGAATGAATTTCTTATTTTTAAAACCAATTTAACTGCAATGTACCTGTGATTATGCTCTATTCAATAAAGAAACAAATTTATTTTTCTAAGTATATTGTGATTGTTATCCTACATAGTTAAATTATTAAAATTGATTTTAGGTATATCTACATTTTAAAATAGGAATGACCAGTTTCTTCAACATTTTGATGATTTTGATATAAATGCAACAGACAGTGATCCATTAAGTTTTAATTATTTCATGTTACAGCTAATTTATTTGTGTAGCAGAGTTTACTACTAACAATAACCTAATATTAACCATAGAATTTCTGATGAGGTTCATATGACTCATCGGCTTTTTAAGCACATTTTTGTAAATTAATTATGTACCAAATTTCTTGTGGGTCCATTACTTTATTGTTTACAGGGCCATAATAACATAAGAGTCACAAAGAAATTGAAAAAAAATATTGTCAACATTGCAATTAAGCCCACTAATTAATGCTATATTTTACTTAGAAAAGGAGTGACTCATTTGTGTTTCTTTACACTGAGTGTTGTAACAAAGAAAATTCAATATATGTACCCCAGTGGTAATGAACTGCATAAAAATAATTTGGTAATTTAAGAGTTAAAAAACAGCTGTTGTAGTGCAACCCCCTAATAATCACTGTGTGTATTGTATATCTACAAACATAATGTAGATGTGTATTTCAATCATCATTTAGAATAAGAAATGTATTCTATTTAAAGATGTCATTGCTAAGAATCGACAGTCATTTGTCATCTACAAAATCACGTGTCCTGGCTTCATGAAATATATGGAGTCCACCACTATTTGGTTGAGTACCTGTATGAAATAATATATTCCTAGAAAACTGGAGGGCTCATCAAGCACTA